CTTGTACATTATAGCAGGGGAGGATTGTGTTATCTGTATAATGAACAGATACATCCAACACTGAATTTTACATTTTCACCATTCAGAATAGTATTTGACTGAAGAGCCATACTGTTCAACTCCTGAATGCTATGCTTTGTACTATGAAGGCTTCATGGCATGAGGAAGTTTTTTTTTTCTTACTTTACAGCTAGCATTTGTAAAGAACTTAGGATAAAAAGAATATTACACATCACATTCAGAAATGGATTTCTGTGAATTACCAATGATAGCAATAAATTTTTTTTTTTTTTCCTGGTTGAAGGGAAATGCAGCTATACATGACTTTCAGTTGTTACACAGTTAGAAATGTGGGGGCATTTGTTTTACCTTTTTAAATTTCTGAACTTTGACAGCACATGCAAGACAGTAAAATTGCACTAGAATTACATTTTATTAACTGATTAAATTTCCTGTGTGAAAATACTGCATGATTTCTAATATTACCTCAGGTATTTGCCTTATGTACATTTTGGCTTTTAATTATAATGTTAGCTTTGTCTTTAGGGCTCAATAGATTCTGGTTTTGATTTACTTGACGGTATCTTTCTAATCATAAGAAACGTTTTCCAGTATTAATCGCTCAGTATATTTGAATAAAAAATAGTCTATCATTAGAACATACTACTATTTTTAAAGGATTTTTTCTGTTACAGAAAACTAAAAATTGTCAAGTTTAAACCTTAAAATCCTGAGTTCTGATATGTGCTTTAGGTAAACAGGAGGGAAACATTACTTGTTAAATCATGGCTAGAAAAATATCACTGTTTTCTTTCTTTAAGATTTTATCTATGCCTGATAGTCAAACCAGCTTAATAATATTCACTGCGTAGGGTGACTGTGAAGATCATGCTAACCTTCTGTGCAGTCTTCTTCTTGGGTTTGGATTGGAAGCCTTTGTGTGTGTTGGAACAAAAGCAAAAGGAGTCCCCCACACTTGGGTAATGACTTGTGGAACTGAAGGAACGATTACTTTTTGGGAGAGCTTAACAGGACATAGGTGAGTAAAAGGAATACAAGAAAAGTGAGCAACATATATTGAGGTTTGCATGGGCTATTTTTGTTGCTGCTTTTTTGTATTTTAATCTTTAAACCCTGTCATGTAACTCATATAATCAGAGACAAAAGTCTTCAAATCTTTTTTTCTGTGTACTGCTGCTGTTTGGAAAATAACTGGTTCAGTGTAAGGAGAAATATTTCAACAGTTTATAATACAGTTTTCAGTGGCTTTAATACAGTATAGCAACTGTTTTGTGTCTTATGGCAGCTGATTGCCATTGATGCTATTGCTGCCATCATTTGTAAAGAAGGAGATGAAATCCTGCATGATTGTTTAGGAGCTCTTGTGGTTTAACCCCAGCTGGCAACTAAGCACCAACCAGCCACTCGCTCACTTGCCCCCTTGCCCCCATGGAATGGGGGAGAGAATTCAGAGGGCAAAAGTGAGAAAACTCGTGGGTTGAGATAAAGGCAGTTAATAAGTAAAGCAAAAGCTGCTCACAGAAGCAAAGCAAACCAAGGAATTCATTCACTGCTTCCCATGGGCAGGCAGGTGCTCAGCCATCCCCAGGAAAGCAGGGCTCCATCACACATAATGGCGACTCGGGAAGACAAATGTCATCACTCTGAATGTCCCCCCATTCCTTCTTCTTCCCCCAGCTCTTATTGCTGAGCATGACATCATATGGTCTGGAATGTCCCCTTGGTCAGTTGGGGTCAGCTGTCCCGGCTGTGTCCCCTGCCAACTTCTTGTGCACCCCCAGCCTCCTCACTGGTGGGGTGGGGTGAGGAGCAGAAAAGGCCTTGACTCTGTGCAAGCCCTGCTCAGCAGTAACGAAAACATCCCTGTGTTATCAACACTTGTTTCCAGCACAAATCCAAAACACAGCCCTATACTAGATCCTGTGAAGAAAATTAACTCTACCCCAGCCAAAACCAGCACAGGAACACATTTTTTTCCTCCATATTTCATCTGTGAAGTCAGTGTTACGTTACTTTTTTCCCCTGCAGAAATCACTGCAAGTTCTCTGATATTCTCTCTCACTTGCCTCATTTTAGAAGGGCATATGTAGCTGTTCTGTATTCCAATGCTT